GTGGAGTGTACAGCTTCTTGCATGTTATTTATGAGCCGTTTGATATGAGTGGCTGTTCTCATGTCCACTAAAAACATAAAATTACACCATATCATAGTAAGTTCCTTCTGTTTAATATACTGGGGGGTCTGGGGGGCAAAGCTCCCAGCTAGGAAGTCAGGTAAGGTTAGGTAGGGATTTTGGGGTCTGCCTATTTCCTCACCAACCCATTTTGCGCCTGCAATCATCTCACTTAAACAATATGTGAAAGACTAAAATTTTAATAAAAAAAAAGTTGTTAATACTCATGCAAGCTCGGAAGAAGACTGACATTTTTTTTAGAAATCAGAAGTGGTGATATTTTTTCCTTCATATTCATCCCACAGCTTCCAGAGATGGACTTGTTTGTCATGATTTGCTTTTCTTGTGCACGAATTTAGCTTGTGCTCAGCAACTAGTTGTAATTGCAAATCAACCATTGAGGCTTCTCTGTGAAGAAGATGGTAGAGCGAGATTGTTCTTTGCTGCTTGGTGGTTTATACTCTGGTGCCAAATCACCTTCATTTGTTCTTTATTTTATTTATTTACCAATGTTGAATCGTTTTCTTTATTAAATAATATTCTTGTATAATAATAACATAATACTTCTTGAGTTGTTTGTTTACACGTGTAATTTCTATTCGTGTAAAATAATAACTTACAATTTGTCACTAATACCAGCGACTGTTAGTGGTGACGAAACGGATTTGATATTGATGACGAAATGGAGTGTACAGTTGGGTCTCACATTACGCGGTTAATGTAACCCGGAGGGTACCGCGGAAAGTGAGGAACGCGTAAAGTGAACAACATAGCATATGGGATTAATTGAAATGGAGTCCAGGCCGATCCCCAAACTCCACTTTTTGACGACACACAACTATGTTGTAGTAAAAATATTATCTTAACTTTATGATGGCATGCACACACAATTAATAATTAAGATGGGCGGTTGGTTCCGAGGCAGAGGGCAGATTATTGGCCCTCACCTGTATCACTTGTATCAATTGTATCACTATCCACCACAGAGGCTTGCAGGGCCTCTTTGTCAAACCCCCCAAAGTTCATATAAGTCCATATCCTCACTATAATTATCACTATCACTGACTTGGGCCGGCTGTAGTGGGTGGCGGGTGAAGAACTGGTAATGTTTTGATGACTGGGCGACCTTGTGCGCACCATTTTCGCGCCTCTTACACAACATGGCAGATGGCGGGAGGTTTGGATCCAAAAATGGCGCGGCTTGCCAGCCGCTCTCCGCGTAATGGGGTTCACGACCGCGGAATGTGAGCATGTTAGGTTCCGGCAGGGCACCGCGTTAACGGTGAACCGCGGAATGCGGGACCGCGTAATGTGATGGTTGACTGTATTCGTTTGTTTAGTTAGGTTGGTGAGGTCTTCGAACAGCGCTTCTGCTTATTTTTCCTATCAACTAGGGTTAGGTTAGGTTAAGTTTATTTTTTTAGAAATAACCCATGTTTTAACACATTTGCACAAACTACAACAGTGTCCACTATAAGACAGTAAAACTGTGGCATTTTTATAATCGTTTTTGGTAAATTTTTTCAAACGGACAACCATGGATTTTTTGTTGAGTACTGTTTTTTTCCCGATGGTTTAGACAATGTTAAGACACTTTTCTTCTATGACGTTTCCCTCACAAATGACTTAAATATACCAGGGGTTAGGAGGTTAGGTTTGGTAATTTTAAGTAATTTATGAGGGAAATATCATAGAAGAAAAGTGTCTTAACATTGTCTAAACCATCGGGAAAAACACAGTACTCAACAAAAAATCCATGGTTGTCCGTTAGTAAAAATTTTCCTCATTTTCTGTGAAAAAAATGTCACAAGTCAGTAATTACACTGATATGATAATCATTTCTTGTGTAAATTCTTCATTTGGTAGATAATTAGGCACCCATGCATGCACTAGTTTGTCTTCTCGGTGGTAATGCGGCAGTAATGTCTCATCCCAGGATGTTGTTTAACAGTCAATCATATTGACATATTTCAAAACATTCCCCTGCACCACACTCCAATCGAGTCCTATGCTCCGTGTACCCTATGAGCTGCACGGGCCGGGCGACTGCTCTCACATCGTCAAAAATTTTTAAATTACACCATATCATAGTAAGTTCTTTCTTTTCAAGATTATTAACAACTGACCCGCTGCCGACTTTTCATGGAAAACGATTTTAAAAACACTGCAATATCGCTGTTTTTTTTTGTTTTTTTACAGAGGACACTGTTGTAGTTTGTGCAAATGTGTTAAAAGTGGTTATTTTTAAATTAAACCTAACCCAATGTTAGTGGGTATGAAAAACAGACCTCGCCAACCTAACCAACCAAACAAACCTACCTAACCTTACCTAAGTTCCTTACTGGACCCCCCAGTATATTAAACAGAAAGAACTTGTGGACGTGAGAGCAGCCGCCCACATCGGCATTGATCCAGCCTGGGCGGCAAAGTGTTTTGAAATACGTCATATACAACAGACTTTGCACACAAACCCAGTTCAATTTCACAGTATTGTTGTGAAAAGTACTTTCTTAGAAAGATGTTTTTAAATACTGTAAAAATACAATACTGGGTTTAACCTTGGCATTTTCAAGTTAATTTCCTTTATAAGCACTAGAACTGTAGCACAAGACTGGCACCAACCTTCACATGCCATGCTGAAAGTGAAACTGGCATGGGAATGAGAGGCGAGTGTGGCAGAGAGAGTGGCTGCATTACCACCAGAAAGACAAAATAGTGTACCTTAAGCACCTAATTATCTACAAAATGAAGTATTTACACAAGAAATGATTATCAGAACTCACTGATGAAAATAAAGTAAGAAAATAAAGTGTAAAACAAACAACTTGTCTGCGGGTCGATCGTCAACATTAACCCTTTTTATATGCTGGGGAGCACCATGGCTAGGAAGTTAGGTAAGGTTAGGTAGGTTTCTTTGTTTTGGTTGATTAAGTTTTCTAACATTGCTTCTGCTGCTTTTCCACTATAAAACAGTGAAATTGCAGTGTTTTCTCAGTACAGGTAGTTCTGCTATAACGCGATAATTGTGTTCTTGTAAAATATCGTGTTATAGAAAATCGCGTAATAGAAATAACAGGGCTTATGGAGAAAATAGGGTAAGGTGCAGATTACTCCAAATCGAAAAAATTTAGTAGTTAGCCTAACACAAAGGATAGCACAGTCTAAATAAATGTTACATTCATATCTAATAATGAAATCATACAGTAAATGTAACACTTTACCTTGAAAAAATATGAATGTAACTTGATGGGGGAGAAGGGTGATTTTGAGGTTGATAAAATCGAGCTTCTCTTCAAGTGTTATATCCTTTCTTTTACGATCATCACCGGGAATTCTATCACCAGAACGCTTCTTGGAGATATTCTTCTTTACCATATTCACAGTTAATACCACAAAATTGGAGAAATAGTAAGCAAAAATCGCGTTATAGCAAACAAGCGTTCGCGTTATACAAATATCGTTCCTAATTCAAAAATCGCGTTAGAGCAAATTCGCGTTATCAAAACACGCGTTATAGCAGAACTCACTGTATAATTGTTTCTATGAAAAAACACTGACGGGTCAGTCGTCGATAATTACCATTGAAAATCAGAAAACTAGTGATTTTTTACTTGCAAACAATAGCTTAGACAATGCTAAGACACTTTTCTTTTATGACGTTTCCCTTGCAAGCAACCTAGAACCGAGATATTTACTATGACATCCCACCCCTTTAGGAAGTTAAGTAAGGTTAGGTAGGTTTGGTTGGTTAGGATAACTTAATTAGTAATACGTGGTTGATAGCACCAATCAAACCTACCTAACCTTACCTAAATTCTTAATCAGGTCATTTGCGAGGGAAACATCGTAGAAGAAAAATGTCTTACAATTATTGATGACTGACCCGCCTCCAATATTTCATAGAAAGTGATTTTAAAAATGCCACAATTTCACTGTGTTTTACAGTGGACACTGTCATAGTTTGGGCAAATGTGTTAAAAAGAGGTTATTTATAATTTTAACCTAACCTTAAGCTAAGCTAACATAACCTAGCATAGCTTAACACCTGCTGTGGGTGAACTTACTGTTACTGAGACGGGGTAAAGCAGCGAGCCTAGGCGTTGAGGAAGTTGTGAATTATTCTCTGGTTGGCACTCGCAGGAATTTCCGCAGTCTGAGCAGTCTCCTGTGGCGGGAAGGATGTCGTGGTCACAAATAAGACCGGCGTCGCCCTTCACATGCCATGGTGAAATTGAAACTGGCCCAGCAGAGAACCTGGCGGAGTGTTTAGAAATGCGTCAATATGATTGGCCGTTTACATCCGGGTTGTGGTATCACCTCTGCTTCACTGCCAAGAAATATAAAGTAGTGCGCGCTTAGTCACTTAATTATCCACCAAATGAAGCATTTTCACAGGAAATGATCATCATGTTAGAACTCACTGATGAAAATATCGTAAGAAAATAAACATCAAAACAAATAATACGCCGACAGGTTTGTCATTAATATTAACCCTATTGTTTCGCAAAGAAGATATCACGAGATTTAGTTGGTAGCAACAAATGCAGTAATAGCTTTTTTAAGTAGTTTTCTGATTTTCGACTCCAAATATACTGTATTGGTTTTGAGTTAAATGTGCCAAACGTGTCATAAATGAAAATTATCTTGTTTTTGTCTAGCAACAACAACAAAAATAAATATAAAATTGTCCTGTACTATAAACTGACCAACGGTAATAAAAATGATACGGCAATGCACAAACCTAATAGAACCTGACGTAACCGATCTAACTTACGAAATTTACCTAACCTTGCCTAATATCCTAGGTGGAGCCCCTGAACCCCCCAGAATATTAAGCAGAAGAAACTTTCTTTGATATCTGGTACCAATGAAAGCAAATTTCTTGAAGTGGCATGGTGTAATTTTACGGGTTTTTTTTGGGGGTGGGGGGGGGGAAGTGGGAGTATGAATGGTTACTGAAAGGCTGTGGATATTTGTCTGGCTGTCGGTTAGGTAGTTTTTCATAGACTATCACCAGGAGTTGATAGAATTGATGAAAATTTGTGTACACATTATTTACAATCTTTTAAATAGAGTATGAGTACAGTACTCAGATTTCATTATTGGTGGAAACCCAAGAAATTGTAATTTTAAACTGGCATAACAAAATGGGGCTATTGCTCTTGAAACACTAATTTACAACCCCATAACTGCGTGGTAATATTCTAGTACTTTGCCATTTTTTATGCTGATTATGGTGTACAATGACCAGGTTAGGTTAGCTTATTTTGGTTATATTGTTAACCCTTAAAACATTTTACATTCATGATTTTACACTCGTCAAATACATGAAAGATTACCATGCTTTCTTGCCTCATAAAATTAATGATAAGTGTACAAGCATTACATTTTACATGATACAGTTTTTGTGATTGATATTGGCTTGATTTTGGCTTCAATTAAAGGACACGAGTGGCCCTGCCAAGCAGTATACAGTATTGTCTTGTCTTCTCAGTGATCGCATGTAGGTACGGAGGAAAAAAAATGTTTTTATAAATTTGTGTTTGTTTTGCTTGATAGCATTTTATTTTAGGCTAAGTTAGGTTAAGTTTGGTTTGGTTGATTATGTTTGGCTAACTTGGTTCTTTTTAATAATAAATTAGAGAATGTAGCAGTTGTAAAGCAGTGTCTGGTTCTTCATGAATGTTAGCAGTTGCTAAGCAGGATCATCTATAAATTGTCATTCATAAAAAGGTGATTGTTTTCCGTGACTTTTTTTCAGACTGAAAATGCAGTAGGGGAGCAAGAATTAAACGAGTGGACCTAATTAGGATAAGGCAGTTAAATTATACTTTCAATGGCTTCACCATTTCAGCAATTTGGCAAGAACTATGGCTGATTTATTTGTGTAGTATTTTATGGACTTGACTACTGTACTGTACTGCATTGCTAGCCTAGAGTACCACAGTTGTTCATTCCTGCTAAAATCAAGAGTTCAGTGATGTATTTTGTCAGAAAGTTCAAGGCGTGTAGACCTTGGCCTACTTGCTGCTTCTTATGGAAATTCAAAATTATTTTTTCTTAGCCCCCATTGAATTTGCTTTCCATATTATAAAACATGGTTCTTGCACACCGAAATCATTCATATATGATGAATACTGTACAGTACAGTCAGTCCTCGACTTACGACGGGGTTAGGGACCGACGACCAGGTCATAAGTTGAAAATGCGAAAATAATACACTTTTACGCTTGCCAGCCGTTTTAAAGGGAAATACAAACGAAAATTTTGTCAGTACACAGCGCGATCACTAACATCGGGACTCGAAAATACGTAATTTGAAAAATATTTTATACGACTGCGGCGGTCATATGTCCAGGTGGCCGTAAGTCGAGTAGGTCGTAAGTCGAGGAGTACCTGTATTTAAAAAATCTTCTGTGCCTCTATAAAATTGCAAATCAAGTGTGGGAATTGTAATTTCACTACAGTATAGTCTGCATTTACGCGGTCAATTGAACCCGTGGAGGTCTGTGTAAAACGAGAAACGCGTAAACGAAATAACAGAACATATGGGATTAATTGAAATAGAGACTGGGCCGATCCCCAAACTACACTTTTTTCAACACAATACTTACGTTGTAGTAAAATTAACATCTTAATTTTATGATGGTATGCACACAATTAATATTTAAGAGAAATATCAATAATATTCGGTTTTTTAACTCTTACGTTAGTAGAAAAGATGGCTGGGCACACGGGGATTGGGGGTTGGTTCCAAGGCAGAGGGCAGATTATTGGCCCTCACCTGTATCACGTGTATCAATTGTATCACTATCCACTACAGAGGCTTGCAGGGCCTCTTTGTCAAACCCCTCAAAGTCCATATCCTCACTATCACTATCACTGACTTGGGCCGGCTGAGGTGGGTGGCGGGTGAAGAACTCGGTAATGTTTTGATGACTGGGCGACCTTGTACGCACCCTGCCCGCGCCGCTTCCCACGCCGCTTCCCGCGCCGCTTACCGTGTAATTAAAACATTTTATTCTGGCAAGGCACCGCGTAAATGACCAAACGCGTAAACAAAATCCGCGTAAATCCAGACTATACTGTACTTTTGTTTTTCTTATTTTTTCTTCCTATAAATAATGGACAACATGCAACTGCTGCCAATTTTTGCTGCTTCAAGTAGTGTTTACCAACAAATGCTTAGGAGCAAATTTTTCAAATGAATGTTTCTGACAACTGCTACAGGTACATAATTAATCAGTGTTAATATGAGCCAACCAAACCTAACTGAATGATGATGTAATATATAAGAGTTGGGTTAGGATAGGTAGGTTATGTTTGGCTAGATTTTACTTTCTTACCTTTTTGAGGTGGTGGGTGGACACATTGGCTAACAAGTGGAACATTCGTCAGAAACATCTGTATGTCAACAACACTAGAAGAAGCAAAAATGGCAGCAGACAGATGTCGTCCATTATTTACAGAAAGAGCATCGTCATTATAATTTTACGGCCATTTTCTATGCGTGTGTGGGTTAGCCATGATTACTTGATGGCAGCTCTCCTTGCTGTGTGATCTCTTGCAGCCTCTCTCATCAAGCTTGTATCCATTACCTCTTCCCATGTCATTCTTGGCTATTTAGGCCAGGGCAGAATACATTTCTGTCCCTTACCCCTCTCCTTACCCCTATCAAGCACATTTTATCCTCATCCATTATGAAGTGTCATTATGCAACTTCAGAATTTGGGTAGCTATGATTTCATGGTATACTGTATTACTAACTGGGTGAGTTGGCCATCAATTTGGCACCCTACAACACTGCTTCCTTGTTCATTAATTTTGATTTCATAATTTTTTTCTTTGAAAAAGTTAATCCAAATATACTTTTCAGGACAGGGCACCAGCTTGCTTGTTATAGTTGCAATGCTGTATTTAAGGATGTTTTGTCAGCAGCTGAGCACACACTGGAGTGTGTTGAACCCCCAACCTCCATTAAGAAACCTGAATATCCTGTGAAAAAAAAAGTTGACCCTAACAGGGTAAAGATACCAAGACGTAAGTGTAAAGGAGAAGAACGTGTCCGGTTAGTGTTTATTAAACTAGTATCCAATTTTGTTTTTGCATTTTATTCCAAAGAAATATGTTCTTGTTATAATGATGGTCTTTACAAAGAATTAAGTAGATTGTTGTTGAGATGCTAAAATTTCCGAATTATGGTTGTGTAAAAGTGAGTGGGTATGGTTGTTTAAAAGTGAGTGGATATGATTGTTTAGAACTGAATGGGTATGATTGTTTAGAAATGGGTGAATATGATTGTTTAGAAATGGGTGCATATGATTGTTTAGAAATGAATGGGTATGCATTCACTTGTTTAGAAGTGAATGGGTGTATGCATAATAATCTCAGCCCTTGTTGCTTGACAGCAAATGCAGTGAGATTCTCTGTATACATCTTTCATTGTGGCCACCCTGCACCAGAGTTGGAAATGGCTTGCATAAATTAAATAAAATTATCTTCATAATGTTGTATGCTGTACTCTATTCCTACTTGAAACAGGTCATCATAAAAAAAATTATTTTTTAAATGCTTGCATTGTGCTTAAACTTATTTTTTTCCTTAGCACCAAGAACTTGGATTCGGAAATATGAAGCAATCCTGCTGGCATGTATAAGGGACCATGCTGAGATTATTGGACAAGCAAAAGCAAAAGTTGGTAAAAAACCATACTCAGATGTCATGGAAGTGTTGGCCAAAAAGCTGCAAGTATCTGTATGTTCATTCATCTCTGGAGTTTATTTTTAAATTTTAAAAGTTTAGTCAGGCAGAATAACAGAGACAAAATTAAAATTTTACAGGTATCCCCCTATTTACAAGGGGGTTGGGTTCCTGAAAACCCTAACATAAATCACCAGTCTTTTAACACGTGTTGCAATGGGATACGTTTCTCGCCTGTCTGACACAGACACATAACATACCATAAAACCTACACTAATTAAATATATACAAAAAAATAAAAGACACTCACCACATAATAATAACAATGTCTAACTTTATCTCCAGAGACAAAGTCTTGGCTTTCCCAAAGGCAGTAGAGTCAGCTAACCATTCTCAAAGTTACAGAGTTATACTGATTGCCTCACAGTCACCAGTACAGAGCAAAATCTGAACTATAATATTTTCCTCTCACCAGTAATGGCAAAATATCACAGCGATCAACAAGATTACACAACACTTTATAACAATATTGTTTGTTACACGAGTCAGGGCAGATGAGATCACATTGAAACAAAGTGCGGGACTGTAATTCGCATGGTGGCCATGAGGCAGCGCGCGGATAGGTGAACTGTGCGGAGGATGGAAAAGCAGTTTTTGCATGTATCAGCCATCTTGGATTTGACAAGTGAAAGGTAAGATGTGCTTTCCCAGTGGTTTCATTAATTCATCAACTTCCTTCTCCTTATTTTATCTAAGGTGATTTTAATGGAAGGTATACCCTCTGGGGTGATACAATACTGTAATTAATTCATGGGGCGACTTAAAAGTTATTGATCATTGAAGAAATGGACGTGGGCAAATTAATTACTGGTGAGATCACCCACTATCATGTCCAGACCAACACGATTACAGACATAGATCTCTCATTATGCTCAGCAGACTCTACTGATCTTTGAGTGGAGAGTAACTTCCTCCCCGGAAGTCCCCCCAACACCACGAGTTTCCTGTTGGCAGTTAGACAGGTGGACTGGGAATTGTTCAAGGAACTAGCGAAGGTAGACAGGTGTATTGAAGAATTTCCCTCTGTGGATGAAGCAGTTGACTACTTAGCCACCCTCCTCTGATGGGCTGGTCACTGTTCCATTCCTCAGACCTCTGGTCGTGTAGCTTACCGACCTGTTCCTTGGTGCCTGGAGGAGTGCAGGCAGGCAGTTGTTGAGCGACACAGAGCCTATGGTCACTACTGGCATAATAGGACAGAATTTTATGATGTGGAATACAAGTGAGCCTGAGCCTAATCTCTCAGAGTTTTAAAAAATGCCTGTCGCCAGTCTTTTTCCTCTTATGTCTTCCGTATTTGCCATTGCAATAAATGGGGTAGCAGCATCTTGTTGCAAGTGGTGCATCAATCTCATTGTATATAGACAACTTGGTCATTTGGCATGCTGCTTCCCACATATCAGTGGCTGAAACTCACATTCACATGCAACTTGCACTAGACAAGGTTTCTCATTGGACCAGAGCATAGTTTCAGATTTTCTCCCTTGAAGACCGTTGTCATGCATTTCTGCCACCTCCGAAGTGTTCACCCAGATCCCGATCTACAGCTCTATGGTCGCCATGTGCTGTGTGTCAGAGACCCATTTCCTGGGCATTATCTTCGACAACCGGCTTAAATGGCAGCTACACATTCATTACCTCAGAGTTTTGCCAGCATGTTTTCAAGTTATTAAGAGTCTTGGGGTGCTGATTGAGGAATTCTGTTACACCCTTACCACACGGTAGTTAAACCCAAACTGGATTATGGGTGTGAGGTGTAATCCTCAGCCACTGACTAGACTCAATGCACTGAACTCTTTTTATCATGCTGGGGTGTGCCTGGCAACTGGTGCCTTCAGGTCCTTGCCAATCCCAAATCTTCTGGTGGATGCTGATGAGCTACCCCTTGATCTTCTATGCTATTATCTCCAGGTCCAGTGTTGGTTTTGCCTTCTTTGCCTTCTGCAGTCTGTAACCAACACTTGTAGTTGATGAGACTCACCATCCAAGCCTGCCATGACCTTTTGGCTTTAGGGTAAGGGATATTGTGGTCTTTGTCTTCCTCCTTTTCAGATGTGCCCCATGCGGTTCCCTAGTGCCACTCCGTGGATTGTCCTTGAAGTTCAAGTTTGTCAGTATTTTAACGAAAGGAAGGACTTACTTCTTTCTTGTGTGGTTCATTTTCTTTTTTTAGAGCATACCTCCTTTCGGGGGCTATCCCTGTTTGCACCAATGGCTCAAAGTCGGATGAAGGGGTGAGATTGGGGGGGGGGGTCTTCCCTGACTTCTGTCTGGACAGTAGTCTCTGCTGTTGCATCTATTTTTACGGCAGAGCTTTCAGGTATTTTACTTGCCCTCTAATTTTTTTTTTCCCGACCTCAGCGATTTTCAACTTTTAACGATTCTTGCAGTGCTCTCCAGGCTAGTGTCTCATCACCCCATCCCTTGGTTATTGCTGTTTTAGAGTGGCAGGTAGTAGGCAGCTATCAAACAGGGAGGTCTAATGGTAGACCCTGGTGCCATATAGCATCACAAAAATTGTGACCAAATCCCAAGTTGATGACTGACTTTCTGCCTCATTTACACACAATGGACGAGTTGACGGTTGGAATTTTTTCGTAAGATGGCAGGTCAGTGGGTAAAGAAAACGCTTATATTCACTATGGTAATGATATATTTAAATAAATTGGGCCAAAAAGTGTAAAAAAAAATAAGGGTTAAAGTAGCTAAAAAGTCACATGATTGCGAAAATCTCTGCGATTGGTTGTGACATCACATACTAGCTTGAGCCGCCGAGTGGGAGTCTGGAGGCAGCCAGCTGTGGTGTATGTGTTGTTACCAGCAGAAATACAGGACTTGTGGCCATATACAATGTTGATATACACAGGCATACCTTATTTTAGGTTAAAATAAATTACTGCAAAAGTATCATTGTGTGTATTCACTTGCTGGGTGACACAATGATGCAAAAGATTTATAACTCCAACATGGAAAGTTTCATCACTGTTCTCTATTACATTAACCGCGTAAAGTGAGGGTTGATTGTATGTAATTTGACCAAATTTTGGTACGACTGAGGCAGGTCGTAAGTGCGGGCGGACGTAAGTCGAGTAGGTCGTAAGTCGGGGAGGAGCTGTATTTTATTTAAATCAACACTGCACTGCGCTATATATTATCAATATGTAAAATAAATTTCAGAATGACCAATAATTGTACTGTAAAAACGTTAATATACACTGTGTTCAAGAGACCCACAAACAAGATGTTTCCTCCACTGTACAGAGAGTTAAACTGACTCCTTGGTGGGTGAGTGAGGTGGCTGATGGGCACACCAAAAACTAGTTCCCTGTACTGTATATATTATTAATTATGTTAAATAAATGTTAAAATGACTAATAATTTTAATATAAAACTTGCAAAAATATTAAAGAGCACAACCTTCTTGATATTTACTCTAATGGAAACAAATGTAAGCCTGGAACCGATTACTGTATCGGCGGACTAGCCTATCAGCCGATGCGCAAGCCAAAACATGTCGTAAGGATTTCGTTAATTGAATTTTTGTTCGTTAACCGAATTGAAGATTCTTATGGAAGGTAATTTGTTAACCGAACCGTTGAGAACTGAGGGACCACTGTATTATGGTTTTATTTTTTATTTTTTTATTAAAATTTTACTTACTATGAACTACAGTATTATATTTATTATTGGTTTATACTCCAGATTTTGTACACCAAAATTTGTCATTTAAAACATTTTTTTAGCACTTTTGTCATTTTCAGACATTTTATCGGTTTTTTTATTTTTGTGGGAATATATCACAGCCTTTATAATGGGAGTCTGGGAAATATGGTTTGATTTATGAATGATTTTTCAGTAATGGAACCCTTTTGTAAATTGGGGAATACTGTACCTGTTGTGTATATTAGAGTTTGAGTATTATGGTAGCTTAGGTTGAATTCAATTAGCTTTTAAGTAAATATTTTGAGAAACTCTTAACTAGCATGACCAGTTTGAAATGAGAATCCTTTGAAAAAGTTTACATGATATATTTTTGTTAATTTAATGTACAGTACAGGTATTCTGCCTTTCAGATTGGAGGATGGGTTGATCGAAAGGCTATTATAAAAAAGTGGTTGAGTTTGTTGCGACGTGCCAGGAATTTTGACATGCTTCAGAAGGGTGACCAGTTGTTGGGTTACCTCCATCTAGATCCTCCTGAATTTTATGGATCTATTAAAGAAATTGAAAATGGTGAGTTGAGATAGTTGACGACTGAAATATTTGAGGAAAATATTTTGTGTTACCATCAATGTCTAGATCTTGAAAAGAACAAGGTATAAATCCTTATACAGTACTGTATGTTAAAAAGTAATCGAGTTTAGATATAAAAGTGCAGGTGGTGTATAAAGATTCTCTCTCTAAATTTTTGAAATCTTCAAAAGTCCAGCCTTTTTAACCTGAGTGCTGGTCCGTGCTTTGATATAAAAAAGCAAACTCCAAAGTTAAAACAAATATTTCATGAGTAAGAATGAAAATATGCTAAAATAATGCATATTTTTTTATGCATTTCACTAAAAGATCACTTCTAAGCTGAATAAAATTGTATGGAATTAGCCAAATAAAATATTAAAAGTGACGTCCCCATAGTGAAGGGGTTAAGGCTACAAATAAACTTTCAATGTGACACCATTCCCCTACAATCACCATATAACTTACTCCTAAACTCATGTGAAGACGAGTAATTTGCTCCCCCCCCTCCACACACACACACACACACACACACACAGAGTTGCCCGAGTGTCTAATTTATCCCCATTTACTTTCATGTAATATAGAATGTGGAAAATTAAATGAAAGAAATTGAATATGTATTTTTATGTTTCATATACAGTACTAATTATTTACAATAAAGGTGTATATTTGTAAAAAAAAATGTGTAGAATTTGGAAGTGAATAGATGGTTGGTAGTGTGGAGAATGCCAGCAACATATGAGGAAACACCAGCTGAGACAAGTCAAACGGCAGGCTGGTGGGAGTGACTGGGGTAGGAGTGCTGGCTGGTGTACCTGTACTTCACATTTTGCACTTCTTTGCAGACATTGTTTTGCTTGAACCATTTTATCGCAGTATTTTGGTCCAGTTTTTGCAGATTTTCCACTTTTTCTTTTTAACACTTAGCACTTTGCATTTCTTTTTAGCATTGTTAAACTTGGTTCTATCACTGTTGTGCTTTCCTGAGAACATTGTGAAAGCAAAATGAAATTAATATGAAACAAAAAGTACAGAGCACACCCAGTAGGAATCAAGACTTTTTGAAGCAATAATAATAGCTCAGGCATTTATGACTACAGCATTTGTGCCATGTACCGTAAACAAAGGATGATACAAAATCTCACAGGGGGTTGAACATGTTTTGTTTTTTTATTTTTTTATAGAGAAAATATCTCCAATTATATTCAGTAAGCCAATGGGAAAGTGTGTTTGAATTCCTGAAAAATAAATTTACAAGAGTAGTTTCAGGAATATAACCCTCTCGTAAATTGGGGTCTGCCTGTGTGAGAAATTCAGCAAATCTACTTTAGGAACTTTTTTCTAAATGACTGTACAGTAAAGTACAGTTCAGTATATGATTTATTACCGAAAATACAGGAGGTTGTCTTCAGGGTCAAATAACCACAGCTTTCTAGCCATTTTGGCAGTTGGTCTATTCTTTGTTTCTTTGCTATGCACTTTATTTGATTCAGATAGAAATGGTGGAAAATTTTAACCATAATAGGGACTTATGTGTGGGTTGCAGATGTTTACATATAATTTTATTCTGTCTATTATCTGTACATTATTTATTTCAGAAATTCAAAAAGTGAAATGGAGAGCACTCCATGGTGACAAGCAAAAGAAAGATAATGGAAAAACATTGGAGGAGGATAGAGTGCCAGATGTTGAAGACCATGATGATGATGATGATGTTGCAGTGAAGCAGTGTAAGGTACAGCAATATGCTCATCCATAAATTGACAATTTATATGAAATATTACAGCATTGAGATAAAGGAGACTTGCAAGTTTAGGTATATGGATTATCATTATACAATGAGGTGAAGGAAACTTAAAGGAAAATTAGATTATCAATGTGGAAATTTAAGAAACTTGGAGTAAATGTAAATTATGATTTTTAGATATGAAGGAAACAGGAAATGTACTATCTTCATTATGAAATGAAGGAGACTCACAGGCTATGTGAAGTATTGTTATAAAGATGAAGAAAAATTCAGGGGTCCAAAGTTTTCAACTTTTCCTGAGCATTTAATTAGGAATAGAGAAGGTGAGGAAGTACAGTACAGTAGGTGAATGTTACATTTCTTCATCCTCAAAAGCAACAGTTCTCAATCTTTTACATCTCCACCAACAATTTGTCAAAAAACCAAAATCCCACCATGTTAAAAACAAAACTGCATTTTTTATGTTTAAGTGCATAATAGTAATATATTAACCATTTATGGATATTTTTAAGGATATTAAAGATTTCTATGATTTTTCTGAAAATAAGTTTTTTCTTTAAATTAAGAAAAACAAAATGAGCTAATGATTTAGTACTGTAGTGACAAGCATGTGGTTATTTTTATTTAATTAAATTCTTTTAAATTTCAACAGTTTATTCCATATTATAGGAAACAGGGTTCTAGTGCTGTCACTAGGTACCTCTGTACAATGTTGTCAGGAGCACTGGGCTGGAGTCTCAAGTATATATAAATATCTGGCCAACATTATGGTGATAAGCACCATGCCTCCATCAGGAGGTTGCGAAGTCGTGGTTCAGAAGACATTACGAAAGTGCTGTGTGTGGGGACATCTCAAGATGCAGTGGATGAGTATGTGGTTGTCTGCTCCCCTGCATAATATATAAGCACGTGACTCTGGGGAGGTGGGGATACCAATCTCCCAAGCAAGAATGTGCCCGATGATGAGTTGAGCAGCAATCACATCCCTCTTCTGCGACCCTTTCCCATAGACATATGAGAAGTCAGGAAGTTTATGGAGGGCAGTGTACCAGATGGGCAGGGAGTCCAGAAGAATGGCTGCTTCCCAAGCCTCTCTCTGTCTGATGAATTTGTGTTCTAAGTTGTCAAATTGTTCGAGGGACAACATAATCAGGTGTGATCATGTTAGAGCCGGTATTGGCAAGTCTATCTGCTGGCTCATTCCCTAAGATACCAACATGACTTGGTATCCATAGGAGTGTCACTGGACGGCCTACATCCTGAAGTAGGCAACTACCAAACAGGGAGGTACTACCTCCTGGGAAGATATTGGAAGCATGATGTGTTGTCTAATGGTAGACCCTGCTGCCATATGGCATCACAAAAATTCTGATCAAGTCCCAGGTTGCTGATCTGACTTTCTGCCACATTTACACACAATTGCTGGGTCTCAATTGTCTCTCTTACTATTGACAACACAATATTTATAACCGTACTCACTCTTGATCTGTTCTATTGTTTCTATTCTTTTATTCTCCTATGATGTCAGTTGACAATAATATTGAAGCGGGGTCTTCTCGGATTAGGCCCCACTGGTCAAGAAGGTTGTGGACCCCAGGGCCGACCTGATCATCATCAAACTACTGGAGCCTCAGCTAACGTCACCACGGTTACTGGAGGATCAGCTTTTTTCACACTTCATTTTTCCAACATTTCGCGGCCTGAGATCCAATTTTCCTTCTGTGGAGCACCATTTATTAACCTCCTCCGCCGACCTCTTACTACTATCTGAAATTCAACTGACCAAAGCATCTTCACCCAAACTTTTTCAAGTCTCCAACTACCTGTACAACCTTTGTTACCTCTCCGTTCTAAGGGAAGTGTATGCGCCTACTGTAACACACGTACACCTATAGCTCGACTCACGGATCTTGAATCTTCCCTTTATGATGTCATCTGGCTCAAAATATCTCTACCAACTATGACCATTTTCCTTTGTTTCCTAAACTGTTTTCCCAACTCTACCAACAATTTAGAACTCTTTGAGTATCTCACTTCTTGCCATGAGTCGTTGCTATCCACACACCCCAACACCGAGATCCTCTACCTAGGGGATTTCAATGTACAGTAGCTAAAAAAAAATTCTGTGCATACTCTGTGTGAAACAATATGAGACCACGGATGATAGGTATTGGGATATGCATTTTGTCTAATTATACTATATGTTAGTAATCACTTAATCGTTAATTTATTCCAAAATGCCAACTCACCGCCTGTGTTGCATACTGAATGGTGGTGGGTGAAGACACGCATGCCAACCTTCCCGAGACATCACGAGTTGTACGTATAATTCTGGAAGTCATCGGACCCTCCCTGTCAGATACCGTAAATTGCGGCGTATAAGTCGACCTCAAGATTTTTAGTTCAAAATTCAGGTTTAGTTCTATATTTGCCATATAAGTCGACCCCTCAAGGCCCAAACATGAGCGATAGTGTGTAATAAGGCCACGCCATTCTCATCAAGACACTTACCGAAATACCTTTTATATAAATATATATATATTATATATATATATATATATATATATATATATATATATATATATATATATATATATATATATATATATATATATATATATATATATATATATATATATATATATATATATATATATATATATATATATATATATATATATATATATATATATATATATA